CTAGCTTTATTCACACTCAACCTTATTTGCTAACACTTTGACCTCTAATCTCGATTCAGTATTCACATGGGAAGAAGTTGATGCCTCTAAGCCTCACGATCCCCAAGAGCGGGTGAATAGTCCGAGCTAATTTTCAGTTAGGTTAAAAAACTAGTATGACGACGGGCTAACTAAGCAAAATTGATCATGAAAAACATAAAATCATGCTTTGAAATTACAAATTCAGCTTAAAAAAATATGTGTCAAAACCAATATTTCAAACTCTAAATCATTTAAAAAAAATGAGAAATTGGATTTGCTAACAACCGGTTGTCTCTTTCATATACTCCATATATTATGATATCGGTTGTATTTGTTTATATGAAAACAATGACATCGATATGCGAGCATGGACGCGTAAACCAACTGGCTTATTTCACGCACTACAATGATTTTAACCTAAATCATGATCATTAAATATAACCCTGTTAAATGATCTCAGTGATAAGAAATAATATTACATTTTTAGAGGTTTTATATTCGAGTACATATGTTTAGTTGGTGTGTGTATTGTCAAATGGATAAGAAAGTTATGAACAGATGCTAACTTACAATAATCTCATACTATTAAAAAAAACAAATAGAGGTGTAAGATTTAAATTCTCATATAATTTAGATATTTTTTTGTATTTTTTTATTGATAATCTAATTTCACATCTTTAAACTCGTCAAACGACCTTAGTGGTAAAAGGGAGTGTTATTTTCTCCTGGTTTCAGTTTGAACCAGGGATGGATTTAGGATTTTATATTGGTGGGGCCAACAACTTGAACTTATAAAATTTCAGAGGCGAAATTAAAGTTATAAAATTCTAGGGGGATAAAACATATTTTTAATAATAAATACATAAAAAAATCTAAAATATATGGTAATTTTAAATTTTGAGGAGCGACCACCCCGCCTAGGCCCACCCCTGGTTTGAGCAACTACGTTTTCGGGACGTGTGTGCGTTATCAATAGCTAAGAAATTTTTTGAATATTGCATATTTTGTAGTTATCGCATATTCTTAAAAAAAAATCACACCTCTGAATTTTATAATTTCATGCCCTCTAAATTTTTAATATAACCTCATAAGTTCGCACTCTTTGACATAAAGTTATGTGTTCGTCTCTATCATCTTAAGTTAATCTCTATTGAAGGGTTTGATATTACAAAGTTATTTTTGTAGAACAACTCCTAATCTTCACTCTTTACCATAGTGTGTGTATATATATATGAAAGGAAAGGCTTTTTTTTTTCTTTGAGATATGGCAGTGGTAGAAGTGAAGAAGAAGCGAAACGTACCAGGAAGTGAAATGGTGTTACGAGCTGAGGAAAATATGGCAAAGCTAAACAAAAGGAAGATGCATAGCTTTACGCCATTCCCCATTTTTCTTCTCTGTGGCCTTCCAATATTTCTTATGTTTTCCTCCTTTGGATGAAAATTATGGTTCATGGAAACCCTATTTATAGACAACAAATAGAAAAACATTCGTGCTTTTATGATATGCGTGGCAAATGGTGATTGAGAGTTGACGTTCCAATAAGGAATAATTATAAAAACTATATATCAGCTTTCATCAAATGAGTTTTAATATTATGCAATTGTATACATAAAATTTTAATTTCTTTATTTTTTTAAATTAATAAAATAATTATCGATGTGGCTTCGTTTTGGGTTGACGTAATATACAGAGAATTATATTTATTTACTATGAAAATAAATTAATGAATTTATTTTTTAAAAAATAATTATCGATGTGGCATCTGGTTGCTATGGAAGCCTGATATCAATGCTGAGATTCTAAGTGTCTCTAATTAATTTATTCATATTGTAGTGAAGAGCAACACATTACCTTTACCTATCTTTGTCTCAATTGTCTATGCAATTTGGAGTGGCACGATCAGATAGAACGTATGGGGTCAATTAAAGGACTTGGATTCAGGTGGTAATTGTCCGTGGATGCTGGGGGTGACTTCAATGCGATCTTGGATCTTGATGATCGGAGAAGGGGTACGATAAGGCGTATTGTCCCTAGTAAAGGCTTTGCTTCTCTTGTTGAGGATGAGGAGCTTGCTGAGGCAGAGTTTCAAGGTCCCCGTTTTACATGGTCAAGGGGAACTCTGTGTCAACTGCTAGATCGGTGTTTAGTAAATGAGGATTGGCTTTTGGTGTTTCCGGATTCGCATGTGCTACATTTGGAAAGAGTAGGGTCAGACCATCGGTCGATTCTTCTGCGTTTAAAAACTCATTTGGAGAGAAGAGATCCGATGCCTTTCTATTTTCTTCATGCTTGGCAGAATCATCCCGATTTTAAGAACTTACTTAGGTCGGGGTGGGCTAGAGGAAGAGACGTTCGACATAATATGGGGGATTTCAGGAAAGAGCTCGTTGATTGGAATTTAAATGTTTTTGGTGATATCGTAAAAAAGAAGAATAAGCTCTTGAATCGGTTGAAAGGTGTGGAGAATGCTCTTGCGAATAGGGTAAGTCAACATTTATTGGTTTTGGAACAAGAGGAGGATTTGTGGCGGCAGAAGGCATGGTGTGAATGCATTCGAGACGGAGATCGAAATACTAAGTTTTATCATGCATCGATGAAAGCTAGAAAGAGGCGAAACACTATTTTAGCTTTGAAATTAGTCGATGGAGATGGGTGTATGACCCAAGAAGATCTGAAGAAAGGAGCGATGGATTTTTCCGGATATTATTTACTTCGAACGGCGCGCCTTCTACTCCTTATCCGGTGAGGGGTTTGTTCTCTCCTCTTTCGACTGCTCAGCTTGAGCTGCTTAATCAGGGGGTTGAGGATTCTGAGATTAAGCAGGCGTTATTCGATATGCATCCGAATAAGTCACCATGTATTGATGGCTTCCATGCAAGTTTCTTTCAAGATAATTGGGAGATTGTGGGAAAGGAAGTGTGTCTCTTTATTAAAGATTGCTTTCAGGGGAAGAGTTCCTACTGATATTAATTGTACTCTTCTTGTGCTAATTTCAAAAATTACAGCACCGGAGAGTTTTGCGTATTTCTGGCCTATTAGTCTATGCGCTATGCTATATAAGAGCATTACCAAGGTAGTTGTTAACCGCTTAAAGCCATTCCTTCTGCTGTGGGTTTCGGAAACTCAAACAAGTTTCATTCCAGGACGAAGTATCTCGGATAATATTGTGATTGCGCAAGAGGTGATTCATTCGATAAGCGAAGAAATAGGCAAAATGGTGGATGATGATTAAACTTGATTTAGAAAAAGCATACGGCCGGTTGGATTTGGGGGTTCCAAATGCAATGAGGTCTTTGATTATGAACTGTGCTTCTTCGTCAATAACACATGTGTTATGGAATGGAGGCGAACTGATACTTTTAAACCATCTCGGGGTATCCGATAGGGTGATCCCCTCTCCCCGTGTTTGTTTGTGTTGTGTATGGAGCGGTTGGGTCAAGTAATTCAGCAGGCGGTTGAAGTGGGGACTTGGAAGCCGATTCATCTTACTAAAGTCGGTCCGGCGTTATCTCACTTGTTTTTTGCAGACGACTTAGTTCACTTTGCAAAAGCTTCTATGGAACAGTTCGAAGTCATCTCGCAGATTCTTTCCTCCTTTTGTTTGGTGTCGGGGCATAGCATTAGTCGAACAAAGTCGAATATTTTTTTCTCGCGCAACGTGGATACTTATTTGTGGAATTCCATTAGTTTCGGGTTTCAATTTACGCAAGTGAGTGACATGAGGTGTTATTTGGGGGTATCGCTGCTTCATAACCGGGTTACTGCAGCAACTTATGAGTACCTGGTGCAGAAGGTCAAAGATAAGCTTGCTGGTTGGAGAGGTCAACAATTGTCGTTTGCAGACAGAATCATTTTGCAAAGTTTGTCTTTGCGCTTATACCATCTTATACAATGCAGTCTAGTTTCTTGCCAGGAAATGTTTATGATGAGATTGAGAGGGTGATTGGGTGGTTCGGCAGATAAAAAGGGTATGCAATTACTTAAATGGGATGACATTTGTCAACCAGTTAAATAGAGGGGCATTGGATTGAAACTCAAAATGCAATGAGGCTTTCTTGATGAAAATGGCCTTCAATATGATAAATGAGGAACAACGGTTAAGGGCATGAGTGCTCAGAGCGAAATATAAGGTCCGTGGGAGTATTCCGGAGAACATTAATCGTACAGTCTGTTTTAGACTTTGGCGTGGTATGGCTATGGTGTGGGAGGATGTTACGAATAAGGGTGTAAAAAACTGACCGACCTGTAAAACTGACTGAAACCGACTCGAGTTAAAATTGTTTTTGACCTGCGCTGTGACGATCCGAAACCGACTTGAGTCGAAACTGGTGTTGACCTGAACCCGAGTTGGACTTGGAAATTGTGGATCTAAACCCGATCTGCATCCGACCTGAGAACAACCTGAACCCGAATTTAACCGAAAATATGATACCCGAACCCGAACTGCATCCGACTAATATGAACCCGAACCCGATATTGACCTGATAAATAACTGGTATTACCTGACCTGTTTTCAACCTAACCTGTTATGAACCTGACCTGTTTTCAACTTGACATGTTATGAACCTGACCTGTAATTGGCTCAACCTGTAAATGATCTGACATGTTAAAGTGATCTAATATTATCCTGACTTATAAGTGAAGTTACAATTAATATAATTATGTTATTTTAAATTTATAATAAACTTATGATAATTAAATTATTATGATAATTAAATTAATATGATTATTTTTTGAAATTTTATCATAAATTATTATGATAATTAAATTAATATGATTACTTTTTTGAAATTTAGTTTTATATTAATTATAATTTGTATATTATAAATTTGATTTTTATGTTAATTCTAATTCATAAATTTCTTTATATATCTTATATTATAAATTTTATTTAAAATCACTAAATTAAATTTAAATATTATCTTATTAAACTTGATTTTATTAAATTATATTAACTAAGTTAAAATATTCATAAATCTTTTGCAATCCCATCAAGATGACAGTGTTCCCTCCAATTGATTAGTTGTAAGCTTAGGCAGCAGTTCCGAAACCACGTTTTACAATATAACATGCTTCACCCTATCATTGCTTCCGTTTAAGACTGTTTTCGACAGAAACGCGACCTCCTGCTAGTTGAGATGATCACCTAATAGCTCGTTCCAGAACTTATCGTCCTCATTGAGGTCGGGTGTTTCTATCAGTTCCACCACTTTCTTCAACGTCGCTACGTTCCAACCAGCACCACAACCCACGACGGCAGCTGCACCCACGACATTCGCGAATGCTAATGTAATAACCAACGGAATGTCATGTATAAAGCCGAATGCAATAGCAGCAACAAAACTATCTCCGTACCCAACAGTGTCTATGATTTTAACCTAATCAAGCATATTAAAGAATCCATGACCAATAGCTTTAAAATACATTTTCAATCTACAAAAAGAATCATCTAAGCTTAAAGCAAATCTAAACTTAACCGAGGAATTTCCATGAAAAGCATTCATATTCTAACTATGACCTTCTATGTTTTCGGATATACAACGAAGCTATAACTCACCTTAAATGCAGGCGCACAAGTAATATCTGACTTGGTTATCAGAATCGAACCCTTAGAGCCCATCTTCACAACCACCCATTTAGCACGGTTTCCTTTCTTCAACAACTCATGCCCTTCTAGAATCGGGTTAGCTATGCCGGTTAAAGATTCAACCTAGAAGTTCACGAATGCAAGTAATAAGGTAAACAACCAAAAAAATCTATCATCAGATAGGAAGACATATTAAGTTTCACATCAAATACCATAAAAGCCCAAATACTTCCTACTGGAATAAAAACCTCCATAGTTGCAGGCATAACTAATATTTATCAAGGAATGAAGAACACTCGTGTTTATAATCTGTCATAACGAATGAAGTATAGAGTTCATTATTTTCATCTTAGACAGACGATAAATATTTCTTAGATTGAAGGTTCAGCTAAAGAACTAACCGATAAAGGAACGATCATTCACAGCGATTAGACAAAACTTGTGATAATTCAGGTTTGAATTAAAACAGGTCTAATAAGAGAATGTACCATCAGGATCAATAACCGACACTTTAAAAAAGATTCAGCGAAGCAACTTCCGAAAGTCAAAATGATTACAATGTGACATCAAAATGGGATATGAAAGCATTGAAAACAGATATAGAAGCACAATACAAGCAGATAAAAAAATTGAATAAAACATGTCCATTGATTTTGTGAAAAGAACCTCATCAGCTGTTAGAATGAGGACATCACTCATCCTCAATAAATGCCTAAGTGCTTTTTGCTCTTCCGCGGTTCCACTTAAAAGACTCTTCCTTCGTGGCTCGGGATCAAAGAACACCGATGTACCGACTTCAACAGCATTCTCCACGGCTGAGACTATAACATCAGGGGATAAGTCATCAAAGCCATACCCATTACAAAACATGATTCTCGTGCGTTTAATCGCCCCCTTTACTTCTTCAGACAATGTATTCATCCAGCTAAAAGCTGGTTCCTTACTAAAATCCGCCCGACTACCGAAACAAAAACAAGGCATAAAACTTCAGCAACCATTTTCTCATTATTGGAAAACAACAGAAAGAAAAGGGTTTCTTATTCTTTACCTGCAAAAGCCATGTTTTTGCGAAGGATCAACGAGCACCAAGTATAAGAGCGTTTCATAAGAAGAAATTGCTTTACCAAATACTACTTTGCTAGTTTGCTGGTGACCTAAAAGATAAAAGAAGGTTCACTGTAAGATAAAAGAAGGGTTCCCTGCCCGAGCAGTATCTCTAATACAGAAGAAATTGATATTCTACACAAATCAAACAGTTATAACGGATTATCACTTCTGAAAGGAAAGAAAAGAGAGCCAAACCTCGGGGGCCATCCATAATGATGTCCATGGTACTCCACAACCAAACGAGTATCGTCTTAGAACTTCACAGATCGATGAATTAAGAGAAAAACTAAACCCAAATTTAACAAATATATAAGGAAAACGAGAGGGAGAAAATGGAGGGAGGATTTGGCCGGGAAGAGAGGGAGAAAAGTAAGGGGAAAACTAAATGAGATTTTGGATGTTGAGCGGGGAAGAAGAGAGATCGAAAATAAAGGAGGGAGGGTTTGGCCGGGAAGAGAGGGAGAAAATGGTTATTTTGGCGCCTGTTTTAGTTTTATCTCTATAAATTTATATTAATAAACTACTTATAATTAATATTAAAATAATTATGTTGAGTTAATCGATCGACGGAATCGGCCAAGAGGGGGGTGAATTGGCAATTAAAAATTTCGTGGAAGCTTTTGTAGAAAATTGAAAGTAATTGCACAACGATTTACAGTGGTTCGACTTTCTCAAACAAAGTCTACGTCCACTACCTTAGCTATCCACACTAAGGATTTTCCAACAAATTCACTAATTTGTTCTTTCTTTTGAGGCCAAAGAGATAACCTTACAAAATCCCTCAAGAGTATACCCCAACTCTTGAGAACACTCTTTTTCCCAAAGAGAAGATTACAAATTTGCAAACTTACAAGAAAACCTCACAAGGTAAGATGTTTGCACAATTCTAGAACAAAGAAAAGAACACTCAAAGATAAATACAATTGAGTACAAAAGTGTTCTTGAAAGCAAATGAATATTGGATAAAAAATAGGCTTGAAATGCTCAAACTTGAGGTTTGATGCTTTCTCTTTGATTCTCTCTTGATTCTAGTTGCTTGATGTTTCTTGTTATTGATCAATGGCTCCAGAACTTGTTTAAATACCCCTTGAATCAATTTTGAACATTGGTGATAATTAGTGGAGTCAATAGAGCCGTTTAAGTGTGAAAACAATTAATTTTTCTAGGTGGAGCGTCTCATGCATCGATGCATGATCAAGTATGCATCGGTGCATTCGTGTAAAATTCAAATATTTTGACCGTTGGAACACTTGATGCATCGGTGCACCAAGTGTGCATCGATGCATGAAATGCATTCGATGTTTGAAAAATAGCCTGGTGCATCGATGCATGGCTTGTGCATCGATGCATCAAATGCATTCGATGTTTTGAAAATATTCAAAGTGCATCGATGCATGGAGAGTGCATCGGTGCATGGAATGCATTCGATGTTCAATTAATTCATCGATGCATCGACTGATGCATCGGTGCATGCCTTTGAATAATTGATTTAAGGCTTGTTTTTGGTTCAAAATACTTTGTGAAAATTGTTTCAAAAATAGTTTAAGTACAAATCACAATTTTACACATTTAGTAAGGATTAAAATTGATCTTGAAAAACTTGGAGAAATAATTTGATATTCGGTTAATTGAATCGAATATAAAATTGTAAAATCATTTGTAAAATCTTAAAATTCATTTAACTTAATTTGTTATATCGAAATATCAAAAATGTTTTCAACAATCTCCCCCTTTTTGATATAACAAAACATTTGAATAATTTTAAGATTTGTTTAAGAAATTATTTTTGAAATCGATTTTGAAAAACTTACTCCCCCTTACTATAGCACATCTTAAAATTTTCTCCCCCTTTTTGTTAAATCAAAAAGACTCTATAAAAACGTTTTAAACAAGAATTTTGAAAAACATTAGCCAATTGATTTATTAATAATAAGCTGCTAAGATCACAATCAAAAGAGAGATTAGCCATTAGTTTTCATAAACAATATTCATAATAAAATGTGAAATGGCATAATTGGTCATAAATTTCTAATGATGCAAAAATATATAATGTCAAACCAAATATATATATTTAAGTTCAAATAGTCAAGCATCCAAATATCATAAACATCCATAAACATCCAAATCAAAAAAGTTTAACAATCCATGTTTTAAAAACAAGAAAACATGACAAGCAAGTCTACTCCGTCGGAGGATCATGAGGAGGAGGATAATGAGCTCGAACTTCAAGAGTTAGAGCATCCATACGATCACGCATCTCCCTCTGAAACTCATTAATCGTAGACTCCATGGAAGCAAAACGCAGATCAAACGACTCTAGAAAATATCGGAAATAAGGTGGCGTTTGATCATCTTGCCGAGCTGGTACTTCCTCGTCAATATCTCTCATAAGCCTTTGAAGCTCTGGATCATTATCAGCGTCAGGAGCTGGAGGAGGAGGAGGAGCACGAGAAGAACTAGGAGCAGCTCATGAAGAACTAGCTCCCGGGGTTTGCTTACCGGGTCGAAAAGACCATAGTCCGGTGTTCTCATCCAATTTCCAATCCGATTTCTTTAAGGATGTGATATTGATTGGGTTTTGGAGCGGAATAAGATAAGATTGTCAAGGGAGACATCTAGGCCGAGTTTGATAAACAAATTGCTTAGTAGACAACCATAAGGTAGGGTTTCTACATGCTTTGAGGGAATGATGTTTATGATATCGACAAGCGCGCTAAAGACAATATGTGGAAAATTGATTTTCTTTTTGTTCTTTATACAGTGCATCCACCATAAGTCTGTAGTACGTAGTGTGGAGTACCGACCTGCGGATGGTCTAAACCACCAAGAGATCATTAAGTGAAGAAAACGATCGTGGTGAGACCTAAAGGTACTGACACTAGCATTAGGGAGATATGGATATTCCACATCTTCCTTCTCATTAAATAAACCCTCGTCATCTAAACCAAAATGAGATGCGATAGATTCAGAAGTAATAGTGATATATTGTCCTAAAAGATGCTGACAAGTTGGTGAAAGACGATGGGTTGAAGAGAAAAGAGTTTATCAAGCTTCCATCGCCGAAGAATTGAGAGGTATTCAAATTCAAGTTTTATCATAGCTTGTAGAGAAGGAATACGCTCTTCCCTAATACGATAGGATTGGAAGGAGTTCATGTACCTAGAGTACAATTCATCCCTACGATTTTCAGGCATGTTAAAACAAGTACTAATGAGGGATGAAGGAATATTGGATGGATTTTGAGGTCTAGGAGCGGGAGGATGGTTTTGGTGAGACCGACTCGAGGATGACCTAGGGCGTTTGGGATTAGACATGGTAAGGGAAATTTGAAAAGGAATATCACCTGCAATTTTAAAACACATGTATGCACAACAATTAATCCCAAAACTCAAATGAGTCCTCAATAATTCAAGGTTCTTTAACAAAGTCCTAATGGGCAAAGTTTTGAAAAACTATTTAAAATTAATATCATAATACGCATAGTTTTCATGAAACTAACATAATTGAATCAAAAGTATCATTAACTTTCGAAATGATAATAATAATAATTTTTTTAATTCAAAATTTCCAAATAATTTTGAAAAATTATGCGTTTTTGATGAAATTTGTTGTAGAAACTAGTTTAGAATCATCATATAGCCAATGCCCGATAATTATTTCAAACTAGAACTAATCTAAACTAGTCCTAAGTTCAAAAATTTAATGAAATAGAGTTTTTGTGAAAATACCTTGAAAAATTCGGATTGAGGGGAATGAGGAGATGTTTTGCGCGATTTAATGAGTGTAGCAGGTTTGTAGGATGAAAAACTTGAAGAATCCGATGTTTTCCCGAAGATTTTGAGCAAAAATAGAGATTTGAGGTGAGAGGGGGACGAACGGCCGTGAGTTTAGTGTTTTAGGTTTTGAGAAAAATGAAGAAGATGAAGATTTTAAACCTAAAACCCGACGGATGCATCGGTGCATGGTCTTATGCATCAATGCATATTCAAGGATGCATCGATGCATTGTTAAATGCATCGGTGTATGAAGCACAAAAATGTCAAAAATCCGTTTTAAACACTTAAAATGCTAAATAATTTGGCTCTAATGGTAATGGCAACTCATATATAAAAAATTAATTATGTTCAATCAATCAAATTAATCTTCAAACTTTATTTGAACATAAAATTAATTTTTATTAAGAATCATAAACTCCCCCTAACTAATAGCAAAAATACAATCAAAAATTATTATTATAAGCATTTTTCAGTATTTATTAAAAGTTCTAAATTATTTTAAACACTAAGTGAAGATAGGTCAGTTAAACCTAATTCTCTTCTAAGTGTCCAAAATCTTTCTTTATCTAAGGGTTTTGTAAAAATATCCGCTAATTGGTGCAAAGTATCAACAAATTCTAGAACTACATCTTCCTTAGTGACATGGTCCCTAATGAAGTGATGTCTTATTTCAATATGCTTAGTTCTAGAGTGTTGGATGGGATTTTTAGTGAGACAAATAGCACTAGTATTGTCACACTTGATAGGAATGGTACCTACTTCAATTCCATAATCAAAAAGTTGTTGTTTCATCCATAAAACTTGTGCACAACAACTACCGGCTGAAATGTATTCCGCTTCAGTGGTAGATAATGCAACACAATTTTGTTTCTTTGAAAACCAAGAAATCAACATATTTCCAAGGAATTGGCAAGTACCGGAGGTGCTTTTCCTATCTAATTTGCATCCTCCATAATCCGTATCAGAAAAAGCATGCAAGCTAAAACTAGAGTCTCTAGGATACCAAAGTCCTAAACTAGGAGTGTCCTTAAGGTATCTAAAGATTCTCTTAACAGCTAGTAAATGTGATTCCTTAGGACATGATTGAAATCTAGCACATAAGCAAACACTAAACATAATGTCCGATCTACTTGCAGTTAGATAAAGCAAAGAGCCAATCATTGACCTATATAATTTAACATCTACACATTTACCTCCTTCATCTAAGTAAAGCTTTGTTGAAGAGCTCATTGGAGTGTTATGAGGTTTCTCATTTTCCAGTACAAACTTCTTGAGCATATCTTTGACGTACTTAGCTTGATTAATGAAGATGCCATCTTTTCTTTGCTTGATTTGGAGTCCCAAGAAAAATGAGAGCTCCCCCATCATGCTCATCTCAAACTCACTTTGCATTAGCTTAGAAAATTCTTGGCAAAGAACATCATTAGTAGAGCCAAATATTATATCA